ACGGGCCTTGCTGCACCAGCCGCAGCTCTATCAGCGTTCATCCTAGCAAACTAAGTATTTTGCTGTTGCATAGCCATAACATCATCTCCATGGCACGGGCTATCTGCTCATTGGTTATAGTCATTGTCTACAAAAGTAACAACATTTTCAGTATACAATAACTAAACCAAATAACAATCAACAACACAACAATCAAAGAAGAAATCAGCACAACAAAACAACACAGCAAAGCAACACAACACAGAGCTCAACACAATAAAAGCCTAAAGGAACCACCCCCACAGAGTGTCTACTAGACTGGAACATTGCTCTGATACCACTAAAGTGTAACGACCTGGCTGGTCACTACACACTGCTCAACACCACAACACCACACATAAAGAACAAGAATATATATATAAACAACTAGAATATATACACAAGGTCCAATCTAGGGCTGAAACAGAGTAAACAAATACAGCCCAAAGTAGCTAAACTAGTGGCCAAAACATCAAAACATCAACAGAATAAAACTCCATCTGCCAGCTGCAGACCTGCCTCAACTCACCAACCTAACCTTGCTCTGCTCCCATACAAGTATGATCATCGCAGTCCAACCACATGGAAACAACAAAGGGTAAGCTAGTGAAAAGAATCAACATACATATATATGAATACATGAATGGAAAAAAAGTTACAGCTATCAGCACATCATCAGCATACAACTCATCGACTATACAACATAAACAGCAGTAAACACACAATGCGTCGTCACGCATACCAGCTCAGAGTTCTCTTACAACAGCTCAGCCTTACGGCCTACAACAGCTCAGCCTCACAGCCTAGAATAGCTCAGCCTTACGGCCTACAACATCTTATATCAGCATGCAGCACAACACAACTTACAGCATTAACAACATACAACACAACTCATACATCATAATTCAGCATTAATAATTCACAACACAACAATATTATCGTTCAAATCCCAATATTCATCAATAACAGCTCAGCTCAGCATAAAACAACATTTATCAGCATTTCACAACATCTAACAACATATAGCTAAACATCACCTCCGCGCCCGGTGCACTCATGGTCGCGCCCGGCGCAGCACAACCAGAGAGCACAAGGGGCCAGCGCGCCCGGCGCAAGAGTACTCGCGCCTAGCGCAGACCAGCCAGAAAGCCCAAGGCTCAAATGCGCCTAACGCAATACTAATTGCGCCCAACGCAAACCTAGGTAGAGACTCTGAGGAGTCTCACGCGCCCGACATGCCCAAACCCGCGCCCGGTGCAGGGAAGGCAAAGACCTCCCCAAGGTCTCGCGCCCGGCCCAGCGCCCCCTTGGTAGAGACTCCCAAGGAGTCTCCACGCCCAGCGAGACAAGGTCACGATCGGCACAGCACCAGAAAACCCAAAACATGTCAATACTGATATCGCGCCCAGCGCGGTCCAAGTCGCGCCCGGCGCGGTCCAAGTCGCGCCCGGCGCGGTCCAAGTCACGCCCGGCGTGGGCCATCCGGAGGCTCACATTCTCAAGCTCGCCCAGTGCACACACCTTTGTGCCTGGCAGGCTTGCCTAAATGGAGCCCCCTGGTGGTCACGCGCCCGGCACGAAGAATAGTGCCCGGCGGGATACCTAGTAGCAACCCTCAAACTTTCGAAAACTTCTTCAAAACCTGTGAAAACAACTAGAAAATCCACATGCAAACCCTCCAAAAGTTCACATTCTCAGCAAGCATCAATAAAAACACCTCATTTCTAGCATGCAGCCTCAAATCAATGAAAACCCCAAAATTTTCATCAAAACCCCGAAACCCATTTTCCTCAAAAATAGCCAACAATCATCAAATCATCCAACCATCAATGAGTTCTAAACTCAATTGCGTACAGCTAGCAAGAATCAATGCTTCCCTTACGTCGGTACGAAAATCCGAGCTCCGGGAAAAGGATGAACAAGAAGAAGAAGAGAATTTCGCACACGGCTAGCTCCGAACGGCTTCAAGATTGCGAGAAAAGACCTCCAAGATCACTCACGACTTCAGCTATAGAGGAAGAAATTTGCAACAAGGTTAAGGGCTTGAGAGAATCCACCATCAAAGAGAGTGAATGAGAGAGTTTTGAGTGAGTGAGAGTGAAATGGGAAAGAAGAAGAGTATAAGTGAAAGTAAGGGAGAGAAAAGGGAACGAAAGGGAATAGGGTCTCACACAAGGTGACCCATATACGTGGAGAAGAGGTAATTTATAATTAAAACGCTTGGACTGTGTGAATGTTTCAATCTAACGATTGGATTTAGAAAATTCACATTATTATTAAGTTATTAAGTGGTGTAGTACTTAATAAAAGTTACACTGGTGTTATTATAACCCTCCTCACACACACACACACGCACATATATATATATATATATATAAATTTTTATTAATTTTTTTAATATATAATTGTCAATTTTTGTCAAAAAATCATATATTTTTGATAAATATAAATTTGTTAGAAATATTCCATCAGTAATATAACTTTTCTTACGAATTTTTTTTCTATCAAAAATATAAATTTTCCAGCACATATTTATCTATTGGAAATTACCAATAGATAAATCCGTCAGAAATTACCAACGGATATATCCGTTGGAAATATAAATTTTTTGACAAATTTGTATTCGTTAGAAATTATCCGTTGGTAATATAACTTTTCCTACGAATTTTTTTGAGTACGTAAAATCTGTCAGAAATATAAATATTCTGACGGATTTGTATATGTCAGAAATTATCCGTCAATAATTTACATTTTTCTTGTAGTAAAAGACTGGTTGGGAATGGGACTGCTATGTTAGTTGGTTCCTTAATTATGAACATATTAGCGATTTTGTGACCAAAGTTGCTGAATGTTGGCATGAAGGTTCTTAGAACTTAAACAATTTGTACACATTACTTTCTCAAGAGGTGGTTGATCTCATTTTATAAGTATGTATACCTATGAATCCAACAAGGATTGACACGTTTAACTGGATGAGTGACCCATCGCACAACTATACTATATTAATGAGATTCCAATCATTATGTGCGAAGCAAGTTGTGGAAACTTCAAATTGGAAACGTCTTTGGAAGTTGTCTATACCAAAGAAGACGAAGTTTTTTCTTTGGCAAAGTTTGCATAATGTCTTTCCGATTAAGGAGGTTCGATTGTAGAGTAATTTAGCTTCGAGTGGAGCTTGCATGAGATGTTCACATAGGATGAAATCTATATTACATGCTATGCATGACTATCCTCATTCGAGAAAAAATTGGATGTGATTATAAGGAATATTCCATCCTATTTTTTCTCTATTACGAGTTGTCTATTGTGGCTCAAGAGCTTGGTTAATCATCCAAATGCAGTGAGATTGGTAGTTGGGTCATGGTGGATTTGGTGTTTTTGGAACCATATAGTCTTTGAGGCAGATCGCTCATGGACTATAAACTATGTTGTGAGATAGATAATATAAGATATTTCACATAATGCACTCTAATTGAGGTTTAAGCCTCTTTGATGAGAACGTGACAAATGGAGCCAACCAAATGATCTCTTTGTCAAGTTAAATGTTGATGGAAGTTGGCTAGAAAATTCTCGAGCGATGGGATTGGTGGAGTGGTGAGGGATGATGTTGGTAGATGAAAAGAGGGATTTTCAAACTCGTTCGAAGGCGAAGAACTTCTTGCTTTGAAGGTGGGGTTGCATTTATGTTGGGAAGAGGGATTTGCATTTCTTCTTTGTGAGTCTCATTGTGTAACTATTATCTCCATCATTTACGAGTACCCGTAATATGACTTTTCTCGACATAAGCATGCAAATGTTATTGTCAATATTAGAGAGTTCTTGACCCGTGATTGACAGATGTATTGTGATAGTATTCCTAGAGAGAGTAATGTTGTTACTCATGGATTGGCCATATGGGGAGCCAGATTTTGTTCGATATTTGTTAAATGGAGGAGTCCTCCTAATTTCATTTTGCATGAAGTTAATTTAGATTTTATGTAGTTCTCTTTGTTTGTTCCTATTCATTAATATACCAAAAAAATACTTTCAATTGAATTAGTTAATTTATAAACTTTTTGTTGGAATATAAATAATGTTCCACATCATCTTTAAAACAAGTAGAGAATAAAAGTTTATAAAGTACAAATACACATATATACAGAGAGACATAGACACAGACATACCCACACAAACACGCACATGTACACGTACACACATAGATACTTTGACCCATAAAAATAAAAAAATAAAAAAACTCATGATTTGGACTAGTAAAAACATCCCGTAGGGATTGTTTTTAAAATTGGGACACTCCCCCAGATTTTGATTACCTCAAAATCGGATTGGGGAAGACTTCAAAAGAGATAGAGCTAAACATGTCCTAAATTCCACAAAATATGGACAAATGGAAGTTTAACTCATACATACAGGTACTTTGACCCATAAAAAATAAAACTCACAATTTGGACTAGTAAAAACAACCTGTAAGGGCCATTTTTTAAATCGGGAGACCTCCCAGATTTCGATTAACTCAAAATTGAATTGGGAGAGACCGCATAAGAGATAAAGCTAAACAAGCCCTAAATTCCATGAAATATGGACAAATAGAAGTTTAACTCACACACACAGACACACATACACACGCACACACACAAATAGATAATCTAGCCAAAAGCAATTTCAAACTAGTTTTATCACACAGTCTCATTTAGTGTCCTAATTAATTATTGCATCAACAAATCATTAAATAACTATGTTATCAAATAAATATATCATTTTATATTAATCAATTATCAGTTAATTTGATCAAATCAACACATTCAATTCAGTCAGTTAACTTCTAAATTTTCTACTTTTTAACTGTTATATTGGCTTATAAATTTTCAACCAATTTATAAAGTAGTTTTACTAAACATACTCTCATGTATTGTCAACCTCATGCATCCTAATTAATTATTACAGCAACAAATCATTAAATAATTACATCAACCTTTTTCATTATATTCATAAATCAAAATTAAGCTTAAATAGATATGGTAATCATAAAAATGATTAAAAGGTTATAGCTAGGTACTTATTTATGATACACAGTCCCTAAACATGTCCCTTTTGTGATTCACAGTACATTCACATTTAAATTTTAAAGTAACATTAATATTTATAAGCAATCTTTAGTAGATTCTTCTTTTACAGCAGCAATCTTTAGTAGTTCAGAGCTAAGCTTTTCTGGTTTGGAAAACAAAACCATGTGATCTGAATCTTTAATCACTATCACCTCAGCATATGGACCAGTGCATTCAATTATCCACCTCTGCATGTCCTCTGTTAGCAAATTATCTTTTTCAGATATGATATAGACTTTAGATACCCTTCCATTCTTATTCTTGGTTACAGCAGTTTGTTCAGTCAATAATTTAACATCGTTCATGAAGGGAGGTAAGGGCCTCACCAAAGATATAGCAAGAGTCAAATCCTGCATAGTAAGTAATTGAGTTTGGCTTCAATAATAAGTATACCACATTTTTAATATTTGGGGAACTCTATTGTACATACAAAACTAAGATACAGTTTATCAAAATCAAAACAATTTTTAAATTTACTATACAAAGACTAAGGATTTAAATTCATTTGAAAAATTTTACCTCAGCTGGTGATAATTGGTACTCCCTGGATGTTAATGATTCGAGTCCAAAAGATGAAAGGATCGGGGCTTTGTTTGGCCCATCCCAAATGAAATAATCTTTTGCCGAACTGGGTCCCCATCTTCTCCTTATCTATATAAATAAACAACACTTCTCAAATTGTCTGGTTTCACAATAGTAATTTAATGATGTTTTAATGAATTTTTATATTAATATATAAAACTAAAGTAAAGCTTTGTTAACGTGAGTTGACATCTAGTTAAGAATCTGGAAACTAGTTTCTCATCTTCTTTGAAAACGTATGTTCAAGTGGATGCAATATTAACTGAAATTGAAAACCTTATGCGTCTTAATGCACACAAAGGACAATATATAGTATATAACGAATACTGTAATGTAGGGATGGCAAGTACCCGCGGGTAATACCCGAACCCGTCCCGACTTTGATAGGGAATACCTGGTTTGACCGGGTACAGGTACGGGTACGGGTAAAACCCGATATATTAAATCGGGTACGGGTATGTACTTACCCGCCCTATACCCGTACCCATATCCGTCCCCTTTCTCATTTTTAATTTAATATTCACTTTTAATTTAATTATATTAAAAAAATTTAATATTTTTTATGTGTAATTATTTATTATAATATGAGATAAAGAAAACTTAATTATAATTATAATATAATAAAAAAATTTTAAAAATATCATTTTTTTTACAAAAAATAAAAAATAAAAAAATTAGCGGGTACGGGTATGGGTACGGGTATACCCGATACCCGAAGGGGACGGGGATGGGGATAAAAATCTATACCCGACGGGTATGGGGACGGGGATGGGGATGAGTTTAACTTGCGGGGACGGGGATGGATATCATGAAACCCGTACCCGCCCCGTCCCGTTGCCATCCCTATTGTAATGTCATGAATTTTTTACAGACTATTTTCTATTTCTAGTGCATTAACTTTCACTATTTAATTTTTAGTAGATTAATTTTATAAATTTTAACTTTGACCTACTTAGGATTTACAAAATTGATATAGACCCTACTAAAAAATTTTATTTTGCAAACGTGGACATAAAGAAATATATAGAACTTCCAATAACAGGTCAATATGGATACTTTTAGTATAGGAAATTAAAATCTAAACTACTTAAAGTTTTTTAATATGGAGTGTGATTCGATATGGCTAAAAAGTTTAGGATTTATAAATTTTTTTTAACTCATTGAAACACTTTTTTAAAAGAAAAATCATGACAGTTAAATGAACGTTAAAAGGAAAATACTTCGAACATAATAACTTTGATGATACTAATTGACTTATAATTAGAACATTGGTATTAGAAGGAGAGTTTAAGTCAGTCCTACTCCTTAATTCACTAGTGGTAAAAAGGCTTTTAAAATCGGTTATTTTTAATTTTTAAAATCGGTTCTGTAACCGATTTTAAAAGAGCCGATTTTAAAAACTAGACTTTTAAAATCAGTTAAATAACCGATTTTAAAAATCTACTTTTAAGATCGGTTATTTTATAACCGATCTTAAAAGTGTTGGATCTGGAAAAAAAATTAAACTGGAACAGGCTGTTCCAAAACTGAAACGGGCCGTTCCAGGTGCATAAAAAGGCTACTTGAAGAACGGACACCAGAACGGCCCGTTTTCCTTGTAGTACGGGCCGTTCTGCAAGGAGCACGAGCCATTCTCCCTGCAGAACGGGCCGTTCTACAAGGAAAACGGGTCGTTCTGAAAGGAGAACGGGCCGTTCTCATTTAAGAACAGGCCATTCTCCTTGCAAAACGGCCTGTTCCAGATTCAAAATTTTCCCAAATTGAACCTACAACGAAAATAGAGATAACAGAAGAGCATCAAAAAATGAAAAGAGACACAAGAAGAGCATGAGAAGACAAAAACGAAAACGAAAATGACAACGAAATTTACCTTATTAGAGACTTTAGAAAATGAGAGCGTGAGAGAGTAAAAAAAGGAATGGAGGGAAAGAGTAAAGAGAATGAAAATGGAAGGAAATATAAAAGATTATGACGATACTTTTAAAATCGGTTATTTAAGAACCAATTTTGTATACTACATACAAAAATGGTTATGAAATAACCGATTTTAAAAGTAGCACTTTTAAGATCGGTTAAAATTTAACCAATCTTAAAAGTACTTTTAAGATCGGTTATTTTATGACCAATCTTAAAAGTTATGTTTGATACAACTTTTAAGATCAGTTCTTTTGTAATTGATCTTAAAAGTTGTGTCAGACATACCTTTTAAGATCGGTCATAAAATAACCGATCTTAAAAGTATTTTTAAGATCGGTTAAATTTTAAACGATCTTAAAAGTGTTCATATTATTTACAAAATTGTCACCGCGTCATTTTTAAGATCGGTTATTTTTGTAACTGATCTTAAAACTCTGATTTTAAATCCAATTTTTGCACTAGTGATCTTAACTATAAACTAATTTTAATATGTCTAAAAAATCCTATCTCGTTCAAAAATAAAGATTTAAGGTTAGTTTATGAACTCCTTTTCTCTTTCCTTGAGGATTCAATTAAAAAATTAAGATTTCAATATAGAAAGTAAGTGTTCTTTAACAGTTAAAGATGATCAATCTCGTTATAAACATTAAAAAAAATCTGTAAATATGAGTCAACAGTAGATTGTGCAACCAGTCAGAAAAGTACCTCTTGATAATAAGCTGTGAAGGTGAGGTTATGAGAGACAACAGTGGCAGTGATGAAAACTGCAACAGATATTTTCTGAGGATACTTTTCCATTGCAATAGAAACTGATAACCCACCAAGACTGTGACCAACCAAAATGACCTTTTCATCTGGAGGAATAGAGGCCATAAAGGACATCAAAGGCTCATGGTACTTTGCAACCGAATCAACCTCTTCCATCTTCCTCGGATTGATGCCAGAAGCAGCCATGTCTAGAGTTGTCACATCATGACCACTTGATTTCAAGTTAGTGGCAACCTTATACCAACACCATGCTCCATGAATGGCTCCATGGACCAACACAAAGTGCTTTCCATTGACACAAAAACAGTGAAATAAGAAAACAAGGATCACCAAAATGTACCTCTGCGGTTCAAACATCTTCATAATTTTGGCCTTGTTTTTCTTTCCTTTGTTGATGACTTCTGCTATATATTAAATGTCTTCCTCTCTTGGTCGACAATATGTCTTCTTTTTGGCTCAATAATTAATTTCCACTGGCTGGGTTTGTGTGAGCCACAAACTCATTTGCATATATATGTAAACAAACGTACAAGGATTACAGTATCTGTGATAGTAACTAGTAGGTGCGATATACATTTTGAGAGGGTACACATAAATTATTTTATATATTAAAATGTTAACTCTGTCATAAAATTTAGAAAATATTTATTATTTGAATAATATTCTTATTTATTTAAATATTACATCAATATTTGAATAAACCTACGACTAAATTTTAGCTCTTTCAGTAGTAGTAATTTTATCAAAATCATAATTTCTAGAAACCATTATTCTAGGAAAACATTTTTAATTATTTTGTTTTTTGAATTAGAGTATTTTTAGATAATAAGAACTGTCTTGATCGGCCCCACGGTGGGCGCTAAATGTTCTTACTGGAAATCTGCTGTAGAGCTGATCCGCCAGGTAAGATCGGTGAGCCTCCTTTACTGGTACGCTGGTGCTCCAAGATGGGGGTGGTACTTGCAAAAGAGACTCCGATGCCAAAGTTAGGGTCTGTATGAATATGAATCTCGTATAAGTAATGCACGTACCTTAGTGTGAATTAGGGTTGCTTTGGGCCTTGGGCTTGAGATAAGATATGATAGGATTAGATAAGGGATCTTGTCTGGAGCGAGATCCCTTGAGATCAGTTATGATCTACTTAAATGTCGAGCTAGCGTCGCGTAGCGCGTGCCCGAGGTCATCTTGTGCTGTAATGCCGAGCTGGGAGCTCGGCTTTGCAGTACGGACAGTACACTAGCCCCCCGAGCTCCGAAGATCGTAGGTCGAGGAGTTAAGACCGAGTTCGCTATAGGGGAGTGACCTTTCGCGTACGTTGGCCTATCAAGGTGCCATGTGTCGTAACCGTCGTTTCTTATTTCGGTAACCGAGGTCGGTGCGTTAATGGGCGTGACGGTTATGTGATGATGGCCTTATTTAATGCGTGGTCAGGTGTGTCCCCTGATTGACACGTGTTGTGGCTGTTTGGATTTTGGAAAAAACCCCCCTTTTCTCTCACTCGCGCCTCTTCACCTTTCACTTTGCTCTTTTTGTTTCCTTTCTCCCTTGGCTTCTTGAGGAAGCTGCTTTTGTGCACCTTCGTTTTCGTCCAGTCTCTGTCACTGTTTTCACAGTTTCCGCTGCCGTTTCCGGTAACCCCGTCGTTATTAGGGTTGTTTTGTGAGGAAGAGTACCAGGTACTTCCTTTCTACAGTTTCCTTTTTTCTCCTTCCTCAGATCTTCTTTTTCTTCTTTCCAAATCTTTTTTTTAATGGCTGGTGGAAGTGGTGTCGGTTCTTCCGCGCCTGCCAGGGGCAAGGTGCGCGGCAAGGCGGCGGCTACCGGGAAAGCCGCTACCGAGAAGAAAGATCCGCCTCCGCCCAAGGACCTGGAGCCAGGCATCCCTGGCTACGACTGGGTCGAGCGTGAGATGGCGGGGGTCCAGAGCGTTTTTCGCTCCTTTCTTGAGGTTAACGAGATCCCGCGATCGTGCAGGGTTTGTGACCCTTATATTTCCCGGATGATCCGACTTGAACCTTGTCAGGCCGGTGAGGGTGTGTACATGGGGAAGTCTACCGACCCTCCCCATTTCTATATGTATCATTTTTTTTTTAGGGATTTAGGTGTCTGTCAGTTTGAGTGTGATTTTTTGAACTTCGTCAACTCGGCTCCTTGCCAGTTGCACCCCAATAGTTGGGGTTTTTTGAGGGCTTTTCAAGTCATGTGTACAGTTTTAGGGATAGAGGTGTCCCTTCCCGTCTTTCTTCATTTTTACCAGTTGAAGTTAGGCGTTCCGCCGTATGGTATACTGTCCCTGAGTGGGAGTAGGGATGAGGGTTTGTTTACCCTCTACTCACAGTCGTATAAGAACTTCAAGCAAGAGTTTTTCCGAGTCTCTCTTGTGAATGTCGACCCCTTGGAGCATGGGGCGTTTTACTTCGGCGGGCTGCCAAAATTTCCCTTCTACTGGTGCCCTCGACCGTCTAGGTTTCATGGGGTGGGCCAGGTGAAGCTGACGGCCTCGGAGGTGGCCGCCATCGAGAACCTCGTTGCACTTCCTCGCCCGCTGGATTGCAAGCTCGTTCTGTCGCTTGAGAACTTGGTGTACAGGGAGAGGGGCTTGGAGAGTGAGTATTTCATTTTTTGGTGGCTTGGAGTTTGTGTAGCTTTCTTTTGCTGATGTGTTTTGTTTCTTATCTGTAGGTATCATGGGGAAGAACTTGTGGCGCGAGCTCAAGCATCGCTACAACATCACCGAGCTCGAGGTCCCCGAGCCCCAATTGGAGGATGCTCCCCCCTGAGGGTTAACCGAAAAAGCAAGAGGGGAACGAAGGAGGTTGGGGGGACCTCCGCCCCTCAGGATGTCGAGGAGGTGACCTCCAAAGCTGCCGACGCTGGCGCGGTGGACCTTTCTGACCTAGGGCTGTCTTCCGTAGGCAGGGGAGGCTGCCGAGGCGGCGGCTCAGGCTGCTGGGCAGGCCGCCCGGGTTGCCGAGGTGGCGACCCCAACCGTCGAGCAGGCTGCCCGCGCTGCTGAGGTAGGTAGTGTACCCTGATTTTTGTGATTCCCCCTATGTTGTCCTTTTTCCTTTTTTGACATGGTGCTGGTTTTTACAGGCGAGGTCAGAGATTCCTATCACCGACCCTCCAGTTGCTGAGCAGGGGACGCCGGCTTCTGCCTCTGCCGAGGCTCGTGGCAAGGGGCCAAGTTTTGAGGTCCCCGCGCCCACACCTGCAGCTTCGGCGTCGCCGTCTGGTTCGTCGCTGGGGGCTTTCCGGAGTCGGTATATAGCTCACCGCTTCGGGAAGGGCTTCTCCAAGGTGCGATTGGACCATGTGAGCGCTTCGGCTGACATGGGTTCGTTATGGAGCGCGGGGGTGACCGCTGAGAAGTTCTTCCCTCCAGGCTGGCTAAGCTCTGAAGACCATGGGCTGATAAATGAGGTCGGGCCTGTGGATAGCTTTGACGCTGCTCAGGTCCTCCTGTAGAGGGCTATGACCATTATGGGCCACTGGAAGCCTCAGTGGTCCAAGCAGCAGGAGGACCTAGCCAGACTGAGGGGCCTAGTTCAACCTCTGAGGGATGAGAACAGGGTCCTGAAGGGGGAGAGTAAGGCCCTTAAGGAGGAGAGCAAGGTCTTAAGCTCTAAGCTGCGAGCCACAAGGGGGGATCTTGCAAGGGGAGCTTCTCAGGTGGGCGAGCTGCAGGGGTTGGCCTCCTCATCCCGAAGTCGGGTGCGCTTCCTCGAAGATGAGGTGACGTCTTCCCGTGGTCGGGTTTGCTCCTTGGAAAATGAGGTAACCTCTCTGAAGAGCGAGCTGGCGACGGCGGCCGAGAAGCGCCTCTACGACGAGGTCGTGATTGGGGGCAAAGAGGAGGAGGTCGCCACCATGAAGGCGGAGCTGGCGAGGAAGGAGGCAGAGAGGAAAGAGCTGGAGAAGAAGCTGGAGGAAACCGAAAAAGCTATCGTTGTTGAGCATAAGCGCGGTTTCCTCAAGGCAGCTCGCCAGGCAAGGCTTCTTGCCCCGGGGTTCGACTTCTCTACCATGCACGTGGAGAAGGTAGTCCGCTTTGGGAAGTTGGTGAAGGAGGACGACCTCGAGGGTAGCTCTAGTGAAAACGCCTCTGCGTAGGCCGGTTAATGTTTTTGTGTTTTATTTTTCTTTTGCTTTGTTGAATTCATGTATTGAACTCCGTAAACAAGGCTTTGTATATACGTATTTTCTTTGTTTGCTTACGTTTTCTCTTGATTTTTGCTGTTTGCGCATTTTGAGGCACATGTTTGATGTCTGTTGTATGTTTTTGTATGCGGTGATGCCTTTGCCTTGTGTTGACCAAGTCAGGGTTCGAACTCGCTCTTGGTTTTTCGTTGAGTGAGTGTTTCCGTGAAGGTTCGAGTTCGACCTTGATTTATTAGCGCCGAGGTTCAAAGTTGACCTCAAATTGAGGTAGAGTGAATTGCGCTAATGTTCGGATTCGACCTTGTATGTTTTTTAAATAGCACGTTGTAAAGGTTCGAACTCGTCCTTGGATAAGTGGTTCGTACTCGTCTTCAAATTTGTACATTTCATCAAGGTTCGAACACGTCCTTGGATTTAGAGTAATATGTGTTTCATCAAGGTTCGAATTCGACCTCGGATAAGGGTATTAAGGTTCGTACTCGACCTCGTAATTTTAGCGAGGTTCGGACTCGACCTCAGATGAGCGTAATAGAGTTTAGATGAATTTTTATGAGGTTCGAATTCGACCTCGGATAAGAGTATTAAGGTTCGTACTCGACCTCGTAATTTTAGCGAGGTTTGGACTCGACCTCGGATAAGAGTATTAAGGTTCGTACTCGACCTCGTAATTTTAGCGAGGTTCGGACTCGACCTCGGATAAGAGTATTAAGGTTCGTACTCGACCTCGTAATTTTAGCGAGGTTCAGACTCGACCTCGGATAAGAGTATTAAGGTTCGTACTCCACCTCGTAATTTTAGCGAGGTTTGGACTCGACCTCAGATAAGAGTATTAAGGTTCGTACTCGACCTTAGCGAGAGTGAAAGAGGTTGGTTCGATTTCGTCCTTTATAAAATCAATAAATAAGAATATGGATTGAGAAAAATGAGTGATTTTATTGATCATTTTTGTGTGCCTCGTTAAAAACCCTCTCAGTCAAGGACTGAGGCGGGAAAAGAGTGCACAACTTCGTTCATACAGAAAAGAGAAATGGAACTTAAGGAGCTATTGTGGGGGGACCCCCCTTGCTTTACTTGCCGGACGAGGAGATCTTCAGACTCTCGGCGTAACACTGCCGAGATGTCTTCTGATTTGCTTTGACGGAGATGATCTTACCGTCATTCCCTAGGAACTTCATGGTGAGGTGTGGAGTGGATACCACCGCTCCAAGCTGATTCAAGGTTGGCCTCCCGATAATGATGTTATAGGAGGTGTTGGCCTCCACGAGGAGGTATCGAACCATGATTCTCCTTGTATCCGGAGGTACCCCGTAAGTTGTTAGTAGGT